TTGCAAGTGAACGGGTCATTTTGATTTGTGGTAAAAAATATTGTGCGGATTTATGTATTTTTGGATACGTGTGTTTGTGTGTGCGTACGGTGCGGGTGCACCAGCACCATGCGGCAGCACCGCACACAAATGCCAAAATGTCCAACGCTATCGAACTTAACAGTGACAAAAGAAATTAGGGAGGGAAAGGGGTTGTTTGGCTTCTGGTGAAAAACATTGGGTGACTTCTGTATAGTATGTTAGTTGATTGTGTGTGTATACGAGGCGTAATTGGAGAATTGTCCCGGTATGAGGGAATCATTGTGGCTGGTGGTGTCACGGCGTTACCGCATTGTCCATTTTCTTCTATTGTGTTCCAAGGCCCATCACTAACAGAAGCATCTTAGCGGGATGGACGACGAATAAGGTCTATTGAGGAAACAGTGCACTCCGTGTGACCGCGTGGAGTGAGGCGCCGCGTCATGGATGGATGAGGATCCGCTTCCGCGTGTGGCTCTTTGGGTGGTTGCTTGCTCCGTGTGCGTTGTGTGCCGGCAGCGGGCTGTGGCCGTATCCCGTTACCGTGGGACTGAACTGGAGGCGGTGGCGGTGTGCGCGTTCCTTGCGTGGATGCCGTCTCGTGGTGTGTGAACTGTGCGGCTGGGCCTGCTGCCCTCTCCTCATGTTGCCTGCTCTCTCTCGCTGTATCCGCTGTGCCCCGTCCCTCTCCCTGTTGCATTCTTTTTCTTCTGTCCCACCGATCAGCTGACTGACTCCAGCGACTCCACTGTGGATGACGATGACTGCGATGGTGACGATGATGACGGTGCGGCGCCATGTTGTTCCTTGCGCTCTTGTGCTGCTGCTGCAATTCCGTGTGCGTGACGGCTGCTGGAAGTCCTGGTCATGTATCTGGTGCTGCGGATGCGGTGGTTGTGCCGGTGGGTGTGTCGTGTGCTCCGAGTGACGGCATTTTGAGCTATCGCGTGCGTGGAAGAAGTGTTCTGCTGCCGGTGCTGAGGCTCAGCATGAGAATTGTACGTTCGGTGGCTTTGGTGTGTGCATGCATGGCAGGAATGGTGAGCCGGGTGCTGTGTGTCATGTGGCCAGTGCGGTGCACACATGTAGCAACTGTGCTGCCAGCTGTGCAACGGAAGAGGAAGGGGCCACCGTTGCCTTCACGATGGATGTGACGACACATAAATACGCCGGCCCTTATGAATTGTGGTGGCGTCTATTTTCCCCGATGGAACCATCCATCCGCCTGCACGGAGCAGCGATGCTGACCAGACGGGCATCCGTCAGTTGCCGCCACCCCGTGAAGGGATGACACGAAATCTGGTGGGACAACTGCGCCGCAAGTGAATGCTGAGCCGTCACTTCAGAACGCGGATTGGAGACAGTCTGCGGCGACTGACGGACCCAACACCGTCGATCCGAGTCCCGCATCCAACACGGCGACCAACACGTCCGAGACGAAGCCTGAGTTTGCTTACGTTTAAAATATCAATGTGGCTCCGACACCACCCGAAAGAAGGCCCACGCCTGTCACCGAGCCGAAGGGGAATACCATTGATGATGCGATGAGTGGTTCAATAAATGCTGAGTTGCCGCAGGGAGTCGATCTATTTGTGCCGCAGACGACGCTGGTGCAGCCGAAGGATGGGATTGCTCCAGTTACGGCGAGGGATTCATTTGCTTCACCCTCTCTCGTCAGTGCTGGTGGAGTAATGGCTGTTTTCTTTGAAGGTTGCATGGATGCCGAATATCAACTTGGTCAATTAAGTAAGCCCTTTTCTTCTGATCCTGTTGCGGGGTACATCGACTCTGTGTGGAATTGGTCCACTATTATTGGCGAGGTCAATAAAAGATACATGGAGGGCACACACTGTGCTTGGTGCAGCGGAGGGAGAGGAGAGTTTGGGTGTTGTGCTCCGCCCCACAACAATCACGAAGGGCAACGGAGTGTTTCCTCTTGCGGGAGGCTTTGATGTGTCCTACGAAGGTGGGTGCTGGAGTGAGGGCGGCTTGGAGCTAAAACTGGTTGTGGGTGATCTCACGAATCCCACGGGTGGCAAGCAGAGTGGACGGATCGAATGGGGCGACCCCAAACCACTCTCGAAACTGATCTCTTCGGCTTCTCACAAGGTGACTGGACGGAGTTCATTGCTTCTGGTGGCTCAAGTGTTCTGAGGGAGGATGGCATGCTTGTGTTTCCTCTGATGGCGGTGAATGAAAAAAAAGATGGCGTTTTCTCCTTGATCGTGCATTCGACGGACAAAGGCAGTATCTGGACGCTCTGTGAAGACATTTCCCCTGCGAAATGCCACAACCCCGCGTCACCGAGTGGGAGGAATCACTTCTCATGAGTGTTGACTTCGAGGATGACCAGAGGGTGTACGGGTCGCGTGACATGGGGACAGCGTGGACGGAGGCAATCGGGAAACTCTCAGCTGTGTGGGTCAACGCACGATCAGGAGTCTCTCAGAAGGAAAACCTGCGTGTGGATGCCCTCATCGCCGCGACCATTGAGGAACGGGATGTCATGCTGTGCACTCAGAGAGGGCACGCCTCGGGGAGTAAAGGTCCACTGCGCTCTGCCTTTGGGTGACGGACAACAAACGCACGCTTTCTGTTGGACCGGTTGTCGTGGACAATGCTGTGGATTAGTTGCTCACCAGCACTCTGCTGCACTCGGATGGCGGTTTGCATCTTTTAAAACGGAGGGACAACGGTGAGGGCCGTGTCATTCCACTCTCCCGTCTGACGGAGGAACTGAGTACAATCGAGTCCGTCCTCAGCACTTGGTCGCAAAAGGACACTTTCTTCTCCAGCTTGTCTATACCCACGGCGTGGCTGGTGGCAGTTTTGTCCGATGCGGCCAGTGATGAAACGGGACGACGAGTACCTTTGCTTGAATGCAACGGTGAAGGAATGCAGTGAAGGACAACGATGGGTCACAAGTGACGGGACTTGAGTCCAGGGCAATATGGCCTGTGAACGCTCGGGGTGATAATGTGCGTCATGTATCTTTGAGCCACTACTTCACACTTGTGGTGTCGGTGACCATCGAAGAGGCTCCGAGTGGGAACATTCCTCTACTGACTGCAATGCTGGCGGACACTGGGCCCAATCATACCATGGGACTGTCGCGCAGCCACAAGAAGAAGTGGGAGACGGTGTTCAAAGGCAAGACAACAACACGGAGCATCACTTGGGAGCCGAAGAAAGAATACCAAGTGGCACTCATGCTGCAAGGCAACAGGGCCTCTGCGCACATTGATGATCATTCGCTGGGGGAGGAAGAGGTACCGTTAACGGGCGAGAAGCCACCTGAGGTCCTGAGGTTTTGCTTTGGCGCGTGCGGTGGGCACGAATCTCATGTGACGGTGACGGTCGTCTTTCTGCACAACCGCCCACTGAATTTCACTGCGATGCGTGCACTCAAGGACAGGGTCCCCGTTCCGACGAGGGAAGCGACTCCGACACCATCCGAGAAGGTTCGAGTGGTTGACAGCGTCAGTGAGCACATTGCTGGGAATATTACCGAAGAGAAATGAATGGACACAACGCAATGCCACTGGACACGAATCCCCATTACAAAAAGTCACCTCGCAGTGTCTGGAGCGGCGTGAGTCCCGACGACCGCCTCGCCCTCTCCCAACGACGTGAAATGGACACTGCGTGATTTGAGCGGTAACAACACCGTGCGTGTGTGTGTCTTGTCTTGTGTGTTGCTGCTTCTGGGATTGTGTTCGGGGGGTGGCAGTCTTCTGAGTCGCAGAGTGTGGATTTGAGACTCCTCACGGAGAATACGTGCCGCTTTCCTCGCTCTTTTTTATGCCGCCGTTTTTATTTATCTTTTAATTTTTTGCTGTTTGTTGATTCTTTCAATGTTTTTGCTTCTCAATGTTGCCTTTAATGCAGTTTGTCTGTTATAATCAGTACTGTTGTGTTTTTCTTTACGCAGTGTTTGGTTGATAAATACCGTGATGAGTGATTTGTTTCCCCCTCTTGTTTGCTTCTTTTTTGCCCGCACGCGGTGCCGGCCTCATTGCTGTGCGTCCCCACGGACTGCACGAAAGGAGGAGCGGAGGAACAGGCCGGA